TGAAGCAGTTTCTTTTGGCCCATCCGGATTAATCGGGATGAAAGTGGTTGAGTTTCACGGCCCTTCACAGCTTGCTCCTCCGCCTCCTCAAAATGTACCAATATCTCAAAATCAGGTATAGTTTTAAAAAAATATGATTTTACTCTGAACGAGTTTTCGTTTGTCTTAGGAGTAAAAATTTCAGAATAAATTTTTTTAGGCAGTCAGGCCAGGTTCTTTTGCAACGCCTACACATTCTACGAGTTATTCGTCCAGAATGGTGACTCCTCGTGGTACTTCCAACACTTCAACACCAGTAATTGGAGATTCTAAGGTTTTCAAATTTTGTGGATAATTTTCTAGTTTGGACTGTTTGCGTCATGTGGAATAGCTGTTTTTCATAATAGCTAAATTTTCTTCGAAATTGTATTAATTTTTTTTACTTGCAAAATTAATGCACTTGCGGTATAGTTTAATTCATTTGCACAGTTTTTATAGGTTGAGCAGTTGACTGCAAAATGGATTCGAATGAATTGTGTTTTTGAGATGGGCAGTGTAGTGCCTCGGGGAGAGTTATACGCGAGTTATGTTGATGACCTTAGGCATCGTTATGGTGCCCTTTCTGGCTCTGTTCAAACTTTTACAAATATCATGAGGTATTTTTTTATTGTTTCTACATTTATCTTGGATCTGTTCTGGAAATCATGAGAATTAGATAAACGCAGCATTGTTGCTTGTCAGAAATATGTTCTTCAATTAAGTTTCCACACGATTAGAATTTTTTGATTCAGAGCGGTGTATCCAAATGTCATACTTCGAGTTCAGTCCTCATCTGGTAATCATATGCCAGTATTTGAAAATATAAGGATGTGTCGGATGAATCCAAACATAGGTCATGAAAATCTTACTGGTAAGTTTATCTTCCATCTTTAGAGATACTATTTTGCCCTGAGTTTATGGGTATTGCAGATTTGAAATTCAGTGAAATTAACCTTTCTTTAGATTAAGTTATATATTATTTTATATACCATGGAAAGCTTGCAGTTTCTACGAACACAGATTCTCATGCATCTTTGGTAGCGAATCATCCGCTTGTGCAGAAGATGTTAACAGATAACGCAAATTCACCAGCAATTTTAAATGGTCATACCACGGTTACCGTAGTTGCTACTGCTGCAGCCATTGACAAGAAGTATTCCTTTTTAAGGCTAATGTTTAGAACTTTGCAAATTTTGGTTTCACTGAAATTAAAAATTTGAGCATATCACCCGAATTATGCATTTAGTTTTATTGTAACTCTGGCGAATTGAGCAAAATTTTGTTTCACTACTGTTCTAGCTGGAGTTGGGGAAGGATTTAGATTCTTTATCCTGATTGTGATACTTTTCATTTTATAGGTCAATGAATGAAACAGCTAACAATACGATGGTGTCGACGTCATATCTGGCAGAGGATGCGACCCGTCCCGGTTCCTCTCACGTATCGAATGTACAGCCCTCAACTAGCTTATCAATCGGTCAACAGGTAGTTGTAATTAATGCGCAATAGAAACATTCTAATTTCTAGATTATGTACAATTCAGTAGATTTTCGAACTTGTGGAACTGTAATAAAATCTCGCGAAAATCGAATTGAAGGAATAATCATCTGTGGTAGTTCATGAAATATTCTAATATAATTTGAGGTTTGTCGCGTGGCCATTGAAGCGCATGATTTCGTACCGGAGCAGCGGCACGAGACAAAGATTTTGCGTATAGAAAATGCTTCGCGAACAGTCATAAATACCGTGGATGAGAAACATGTTCCGCAAGTGAGCCTTCTTATTGCAGTTGAATCGTTTTATTTTATTTTATTTTATTTTTTTTTTTTGATGCTAATTAGTTGAAAATTTTAATTTTGGTTTTTTTGGTTTTAAAAATTTGCAGTCAAACAAATAACCTTTTTTCTTTTTGTTAGCTACAATATTGACGTAGAGTTATGGATCTACTGTCTTAATGAGGTTATTTAATGACTGAAAATTGCAGATGCATAATCAACTACAATCTAAAAGTGTTGTTGCAAGGCGTATCAATGGGATATGTGATAACCGAATTATAAATAGTGAAAGTGTTGCAAATGGCTTTGATAGTGAACTTGCGCATTCTTCCGAAAATACGGTCAGTCAAACGTTGAATGGAACTCCAACTTTCTCAGGCTTGAAAGAAGTAGGATTTTTTGCCTTTATAAACCATATAGGGAAGAAATGACTAGATGGTTCTCGATCTTAACTAAAAATTGTTTATGTTAGAAGGGAAGTTATATAGTAAAAGTTCTTTACTTTTATATAAACCACCAAGTGCGTAACTCTCGTATGAAACATTCATCAAAGCTTGCATAGTCAAAGATTACTGATTGCATGCTTTGTCTATATTTTGATGCTGTTCGACCATACTTACTTGTACACTGCACTGTATACGATATATATCGTGTTTTTTAATTGCATTTTAAATCTTATTTCTTTCAGTTTTCTTCTCTTCATATCTTTTATATCTATGAGATTTTTGTTAACTGAATCGGTCTTTAGTCATATTTAAATTGTAAAACATGTTTTAAAATTTAAGGCGAAACCGATAGTAAACGTTGCAAAGGTGAGTGTTGATACTCAAATGGTACATCCTTCGACATCTGCAATGGGTAGCACACGTGATGATGATTGTGATTCATTGAAATCTTATACATCATCTACGCCATGTTCTCCAATCTCTATGAAGCGGCGTCGGGTATCAGCCTGTTCCAGCAGCAGGCCAACCACATCTTCAATTGACGGTGACGATTATTTGTGTGAATGGAATGGATGCGGAAAGTAAGTATAGTCCTTTTTGTTGTACTAGTACATAATGCTCTTTATACCTTCGAACTTTTTGAAATTTATCTGCTTGCAAAACTACTTTAGAATATCATTTTTAGGCACTTCTCATCTGCATCTTTTGTTCTTTATCACTGCACCAAGGAACATGTTGGCGATGATCACAGCATACAATGTCACTGGCCACGATGCGATTCAACAGTGCGTGCCAAGTGGTCCATGGTGACGCATCTGCAAGATCACCATTGTAATGAAGCTGCTCTAAAAGCTGCAGCCAAAAGACGAAAAGAAGGTTGATGACTACAGAAATTTATTTATATGGTGTTCTATTTTTTATGCGACAGTTTTTTAAATAAATGACCTACTAATGAGATGAAATTGAGCATAAACATAATCTGAATTGTCGTTTGAGAATTATCCTCATTCACAGTTATTTTTACAACGCTCTTTGTTGTTTGCAGGCCATGGTTTGCCTTTAGGACCAGTAAATCCCGAAAGACCACGAGAAATTGTGCAGCACCCGGGATATTCAAAGAATGCAGCTGTTGAAGCAATCCGAAGGCATGCCTTCAATTACCTTCCCCGTGACATCACGGTATGCGTATTTTAAGTTCTCATCATAATAATTTATGCTGCAGTTTTTTCAAAGTGTCTAGTTTCTTTTTTGTTTTCAATGTTGAGCTGAATTGAATTTAAGAATTAAAACCTTTATAAAGCTCAAATATGCGAACATGTTGAGAACTTATAGGATGATCCTGAAGGACCCGTGACAAAAAGCATCCGCTTGACCAGCTGTCTTATTCTCAGAAACTTGGCGCGTTATTCAAACGATGGAAGACGGTAAACTTTATTCTGTTAATTATCACATGACCTTAATTTTAACTTAAAATTTTGTAGAACAGGAGAGAACTTGATATTTCCATTTTATCTTTTTTCTTGCATATGTTATAAATGCATGTTGCTTGTCAGGTCAATTTTATCAATAAATTGATTTATATTTATTGTAGACTTAAATAAACTGGATTGTGTAGTTACTAATTTATTTCAGACTTCTTCGCCGACACGAACGTTTGCTTAGTTGGTTATCGTTATCGCGTGTGGAAAGTAGCTCAGCATTAGCACAACTTCTTGCTGAACTATATTCTCAGCCGTCTTCTTCGTCTTCCCCTTTCTGTTCATCCTCATCGTTATCACCTCATCGTACTTATCATGTGCCAACTGCATTAAATGCTGTTACACTCGCAAAAGCCTTATGACCAGACCAGTGGAATGTGTTTTATATATCGCAAAGGATATTCTCATTTTACAGAATCAGTTATTTTAGACTGAATTAATTTTTTAATTACATTAACAACCTCTTCATCTAATCAATTTGTTTTATGCTGCAAATACATGATTTTGTTTTCATTGAGAGGATAGTTGCTGCAGTTCTGTTTTGTTAATTTTCTTTTTTATTTGAAATTTCTTCATCAATAGGTGTGATTTATTATATCTAGCTGAGCCCAAATTTTGTCGTCTGAAGCAATTTTAATCCCAAATTCTGATTAAATTAAGGCTCCAGTATGCGTATTGCAAGAATTTTGCTATCCGTTTATTTTAGCATATGAATTTTCTTTCATGATACATATGTTTTGAAGAAGACAGTTAATTACGTTTATGTATAAATGCTCTTTGTTTTGCGGACCATTTATAATATTTTGTAAAATTATATTCTTCGGATTGTGTATATTCATATGTTCGTGCTATTCCTTTTGTGATTTTACCATGTATTATGTGACATAAAATTGTGTCGTTGAGAATCTAAATCGAATATCATTTTCAGTAAAAAGAAATTGTTCCAACACTTTAGAATACTAGCAGTATGTATTTCTGTTCCAAATGTATTTCTAGTAATCATCTTAGATGAAGTTAGCAAATTGAATGTTCAAATTACTGGATAAGAGTATTCATATAATTCTGACAATCTATTGAAAGATAGTTGTAATAGCTGGGCTTTTGCTTACATTGTACTAGTGGTTATCATTTGTACAAAGTTAGATTATTGATGGATTACTTGGATAGATCATGGAGCTAAATCTTTTTGAGTTTTTTTTTTTTTTTGTAAATACAGGAATAAAATGCTTCATATCTGAATTCGATATCTGGAGGATGTAGTGAAAAAGTAGTGATTGGAAGAGATGACATCAAAACGGGAGGTATGCTATTATTTTCATCATGATGTACCGAATTTTCATTATGGCTCGAGACATCCTATGAAGCCACAACGTTTAGCTGCTTTACATAGTTTGGTTGTTAATTATGGTTTGCATAAAGAAATGCTTGTCCTTACACCGCCTCGCGCATCTGCAATCGAGATTGAGCGGTTTCATTCAAAGTAAGTTATTTGCGCATACTAAAATCATCTCAAGTGTACACTACTATGATCTGGTTATTGCATAATAAAGAGTGTATTTTCAATGTATTTAAATTGGAAAGGTATGGACATTGTGAGATTATTTTTATCGCTCAACTATTTGAGATATTCTAAAATGTTGCATTCAAAATGCATTTTGATTATTTTTTTTGTATCATTTTTTGTCTTAATTTTTATAGGGCAAATTAAAATTATGTACGACTGATACCTTTCCATTCATTTTATTCTTGTTTGTATGCTGAAATCTTTTTTCTTTTTTTTTTGAACAAATTAACTTGCATTGATTTCTCTTATTGTAGTACTTAAGATAATTATTCGGAATTAAGAAATATGAAGCTATTCTGTCCTTACCTTGTAATTATCTGTTAACCTCACATAAATAAGATAAGACACAGAAATATGATGATTGATTTAGGTAGTAATTCTTTTGAAATTCTATACTTGCAGAGATTACGTGGACTTTCTTCAACGAGTGTCACCTCGTACAGCTGATCAATATGAGAATCTTTTCTCACAATATAATATTGGTGAAGACTGTCCAATTTTCGATGGAATTTTCGAATTTTGTTCCATTTATACAGGCGCTACGCTTAGTGGTACAGTTTAAATTCTATATGTATACATGAGAACTTCCCTAATTTTTTTTTTTGTCTTTTAGTTAAATTAAAAAGCAATTTATTCTGAAAAATATTTCCTTTGTATACAACAAGCAATAACATTTTGCAGGTGTTGCTCGTTTGAATCATGGTCTAAGTGATATTGCTATTAATTGGAGTGGTGGTCTTCATCATGCTAAAAAACGTGAAGCTTCAGGATTTTGTTATGTGAATGACATTGTTATTGGAATTTTGGAATTGCTTAAATATCATCCTCGAGTGCTTTATATTGATATTGATATACATCATGGTGATGGAGTTCAGGTAATATTTATTAATAAACATTGAAAAAAAATTTTTTTGTAAGCAATAATGTGGTTGTTTTTTTTTTTTTGATTTGTTAATTCTTCTATTTTGTAGTTATTCAGTTTTTCTCAGACAAAACATTTTCAGGAAGCATTCTATTTAACTGATCGAGTGATGACTGTCTCGTTTCATAAGTACGGCAATTATTTTTTCCCAGGAACTGGGGATATGTATGATGTTGGGCAAGATAGTGGTCGTTATTATGCTGTGAACGTTCCCATGAAAGAGGGAATGGATGATGAAAGTATTCATTCATATATTTAATTTTGTAAGAAATAGATTTAATTTGTAAGAAATACCGATTGGACAAAATTTCAATTAACTTTTACTATGATGACAAACTTCAGTATGTGTGTGAACTTCTTCATATCTATTTTCAGTTTTCAGTTTTGGAATTAAATGCATTTCAGATTATCATTCCTTATTCAAACCAGTCGTACGAGCTGTTATTGATTGTTTCAATCCATCAGTTATTGTACTGCAGTGTGGAGCTGATTCATTAGGATGTGATCGGTTGGGATGTTTCAACTTGAGCTTTTCGGGTCATGGGTTTGTTATCTCTGCTTATTAAATATGTATAACAATTTTATTGCTGTATATCATTGATGACAAATCCTCATGTAGTGTTTTCAGTTTTCGATTTCTATACAAAACAAAACGATTAACAGTAAACATTTTTTGTTTCTTTTAGTTATTTAAACATCACTTTAGGGAATGTGTAGATTTTGTTCGCAGTTTGGGAATTCCAATGCTTGCAGTTGGTGGTGGAGGATATACATTACGTAACGTAGCACGATGCTGGACTTATGAAACTGCAATTCTAGTTGGCAAAAAAGATGAAATACCAGATGAAATTCCAAATAACACTGGTAATATTTTCATTCTCTTTGGGAACCCTAATCCAGATTTCCAATAATATCAGTTGGTATTTTGTAATATTTCAGAGGAATATACGATTTAAAATAATTGTTTTCAGAATACTTGCAATTCTTTGCTCCAGAATTTACGCTAAGACCAACACTAGCAAAAAGGCAGGAGAATCAAAATACGAAAGAAGTCTGTCCAATTAAATACTAAATTCTTTACTTGTAAAGCGTCATTTGAATTCATATTAGGATTTAAATCTTTCTACATGCTACCTCCTTTTTATGAAAGGTTCTGGTGATATTTCTGCATAATTTTTAGTATATCACTGCTCTCAAGCAAGAAGTGTTAGATCATCTGAGACAAATTCGTCATGCTCCTTCAGTGCAAATGCAAGAGGTACCACCTGATCTTCTAGATCCCGACGAGGTACTTTTCATTGTGTCTTTTTTTTATAAAAATGTAAATTTAAAGGTTACTGGCATTAAAATACATATTGTGGACCATTCTCAAGTTTCCATTTACTTTTTCAGGTATTTTATGCACAGGAATCTCCTCCAGACATTCTTCCAACTGATAATGATCCAGATGGCGGCACATTTCTCGGTACCGGTTCCGAAACTGATCACTTGTCATGACTTTCTGGTGCTCACTGGTATGCTCTATCCTGAACCATTTTAGGAATATTTCGCTTATTGCATTTCAGACTAACACCAATATATATATATATATATATATATATCTTGCTTTAATAATAATAGTTTGCTTTAATTTTTTATATCAACAACCTGTATTGTTTCATATTTCACCGTTGAATTTAGGAATCTAACATTTCAGAGGTTTTTTTTTTACGCTCCATTTAGGAAACTTAAGCCAAAATTTTAATGTTTGTTTCTAAACATATTTTGTTTCAGATGAAATCGTTCATGAAACACGAAGAATGAAGATCATTGGGGAAACATATGGTCATCCTTATGTGGTTAAATAACAGATATAACTGTGATAGATTTTTTAAGGCTGTTTTCAGATGAGATCAATTTGAATAGATAAATGCGAATAGAATAAACTTACCTATTATTTAAAAGATTATCAAGGTAACTCCAAATCTACAAAGAATAAAGAATGTTCATATCAAAAGGTTTAAATAAGCAAAATGGTTGAAAGAGACAAACCGAACATGTTCCCAAAATAAAAAACTGCATCCAAGAAAAAATACTGCTTTAAAGACAATGATTTGTTTAGTATCAACGGTTTGACTTTTTATTTCCTTCAGTTGTTCAGTAACAAAAAAACAAAACAAAGTGTACTGAAGGTCGATTCTATTCTAGAGTACCGCGTAGTCCCAAAATGCCGTGATGGTGCACGATTATTTACCTCTAATGATGTTACATTTGGAAAAAATTAACTGTCGCGTACATTCGGAAAAAATATTAAAGAACAGTTGTATACACAAAAATTATAGAGGACAATTATATTATAACAGTGTAACGACTTTAGAGGAATAGTAATAGTGCATAGATAATGAAGTCATTTAATGTACCTGTTGCAGAAAGACGACTTTAAGCACAACATTGCCTTCGAGGATCGGAATAAGTTTCAATACGTTTCAACAACTTACCAGAATGTTATTAAACGATGGAAAGTTACCGCAAACGCTTTTCATCGAAACACAACCGTTTTCAGCGCATCTTTAGGATGAATCTGTAAACCTGTTGTAAACCTAAAGCAATTTTGTAAATACCATAAGCCTATTATCACATGCAAAAATCTTAAAAATTCTTTAATGAATAGGGACATGTTTACTCTTTGTAAAGCTAGATCTATTTAACTGTCATTATCAACATAGAAGAGGCGTTTGGTATCCTAATACATGTTTCTAAAATGTTAAGCATCTTCAAATAACCATTCTTTTGTAAGACACGACGCATTCTTGATAATTTTTGATTAATTTTTTTGAAATGAATTTCAAACAATCAATTCCTCCCTTTAATTTTTTCTTATGTTTATTAAATATAATGATAACCGGAATTCAAAGTTCATTGCGGTCTACGGTATTACATTGACGAATGGTATTTGCATGATGTAAATGCCTTAATATCCATAAAACAAGAGATGCATGTTTCAAAGGTTGACTTTGGTCACAAATATAATTAATGACGAGTTGATGGGACCAAAAAATAATTTAAAAAAAAAAGAAATAGCACCTCAAGTACTGCTTCAGCACCATCATTAAATCTGTACGCAACTCGACCATCAACAACCAGATGAGCATCATAACAACGTGAATGTAGTCGTAAACGCTTTACTAGACCACGAGGTGGGAATTCTGGATATGTTGCATTATATATTGGATTGCGAACGCAGTAGGCCATATCTACAAAAAACATTGAGATAAAAAGCTAGAGGAAATTCTCTCTCTCTCTCTCTCAAAAGTTTCACCAACAAGAAATGAACAACCATGGAAGGAAGGAAAGATCACTTTTACAGTCTGGAGTAAACAGCAGACGACTATTATAAATGTCACGAATCCTCTGAATTAATGATTTGTCTTCTGTCAGTGTCGTACATCCGATCTCCTTTGAAGCGATATCCAGGATACTAGATACACAGTGGTCAGTCACCTTGTTTACATTGAAATACCAAGAAGTCGAGCCAGATCCTAAACTATTCAGTCTTGTTTTTTCATATGAATCTTGATGAAAAGCATTTAGCATCTTAAACAATAAAAGATGTACAGCACAGAAATTTTAATGATATTACAATAAAGCACATGAAAAAAAAAAAAAAAAAAAGAGTAAAAATCACAAGTATTGTTTTGTTTGATAAGTAGTAGTTTCTATACATGGCTGTATATCTTCAAACATTCGTTACCTCTTATTTTGTTCATCCAAAATGGAAAATTGATACTTCAGAAATTGAAAAGCACGCTATGTTTTTCACGTCGCATATGAAGTTTGCTAGGAGATTTTAAAAAATTAAAGATATTCCAGAAAAAAAGTGTTCTACAACACTCTGGGTTACTGGAAAAGATTTCGGTGACACCGAATCTGTAAAAATCGAACCTGTACATATTATAACACCGCTGCTTTTTTGTTTCACCATCTCACTATCATCATACTGAATTTCATAATACGAAACACGTGATGATAAGCTCTCTCCGATAAAAACGTCATTTAAAGCCAAATCTGACAACACATTCACATGTTCTTCAGCAATGTTTCCTGATATTCTCGTTGATTTCAACATCTCCCTAAGATGAGAGATAATAAGTTTAACAAAAAAATATTAATGACGTGATATCATTTAAAAGTTAAAAAAAAAAAGCTAGTCTTAAATTTAAAAAACGAAATTACTGAGATATGTGTATGTACGAGTAGTGTACTGCGGACTAAAATCCCGCTGGAAAGTAAGCAATAATGAAAGAAAATCTGTAGTAATCAAATCATACTGCTTTTTTGAGTTATAAAAAGGAAGCTGCTCTTCATGCAAATAAAACGGTTTGATATCTCCAACATCACCTTCCAGACGTATGCGTATACGTTGTCGATATAACCACCTGAAATTTGTACTTCATGAAATACAACTGATACTTAGAAATTACGATTATAGAAAAATTATAGCTTAACTTAAATCACAAGTGATTATTTTTCAACCACATTTCTTTGTTAAATAGCAATGAGTAGGGAAAGGATAAAAACAGAATTTTCCTGTTTTACTGCTTTGAGATGAACAGAAGCCGTTAATATCGGACAACCAATAGTCACTTTGTGAAAAAAAATTTTTACCTTTGTGAAATATATATACCTTGGTGGAAAAAAATTTAATAGTGTTAGTATCGAAAACAAGATTTATTACCTGAAATCACCAGCAAGTAATCGTTTTAAGGCATCTCTGAAATATTCGTGCGATAGTTTCTTCAGCAAACAAAGATGGCCCTCTGAGCTAAAACTGGAATAACTGTTTGCGACATAAAAATTTATAAAAGAAGATAAAGTGGAAAAACAATAAGTACCACATAAGCACATTATACATCCTAATTTTATATACCAATTTGTAAAGTAGAGAACCACTTCTTATGCACTATTTTCATTTATCCCTAATTTCTCAACGATTTACATTCAGCCATCTACACTATAGATTGCCACTTCATGAAAAATGATGTAGTTGCAGAATTTTATTGAAGACTCTAAAATTCATAAGTCCTAAAACTACAAGGAGAAAAAAAAAATGAAGAATGTCGCAAGTTAATTACAGGTTTCAACAATGTTCGAAACATTATAAAACTTTAACCCCATAGGATCGGTATTTATCCCTATCACAGGTTTCTCCGCCGATAAAATTCTTGAAGCTGCGTGAAGAAATGTGCCATCACCACCCGCAGAAAATATAGCATCAGCCCATGAAACTGCAGCATTATTATAATCGACTTTCTGTACAGTTCGAGTTTCGATACCACAAGCTCTGACATTAAATAGTGAATTAATGATGAGCAAAGCATTCAGATAAAACATGCGCACTTTTATGAAACTTTTGCAAGAAAAAAAAAGTCGAATGGAAAAAAATTATGATTTTGTTTATAAGCGCGCAATTACGACAATATAAAACCATCTGAATATTAAAATCTGATTGAAAAGTAATCTGCAAACCTTAGTTCACCTATCACAACATTTAAAAACCGGTAGTGTTCATCATAACGCCTCCGAAGCCTATCATAGTTAGATCCTCGTCGTGCCAGCTTAAAAAAAAAAAAAAATAATGTGTGATTCTAAAAAGTAAAATTCATTCCAGTTGATGGACAAAAAATAGTCACACAATTTTTTAAAAACAGAAAAGGAAAGGGAAAGATGTATCAATAAATTTTACCGCTTTTTTCAACTGAGTTTCGTCAAGAAATGGATGATTTTGCCTTTCATATTCCAACCGTGTTAATTTAGATAGAATCAAAACCTTTTTAGGTTTGAAAATAGGTTTCTGAAACATTATAAATTAGTCCTATTAAGTAGTGTCAAATATTGAATTAGTTTATGTATGAATTACATATGAATTTCATACTACTATCAAAAAATATCATCACTGGAACTAATAAAATGAGATATAGAAGTAAAATTAGAACTCATTAAAAAGTCTAAAAAACTGACACAAACACAGGTTATTTTATTTTTTCTATTTTATTAGTGTTTTTTTATCAAATCAAAAATAAGTAACCTTCTCGACTGTGCTGGAATTATCGCTAGTCTGTATTTTCATTCCTGCATTACTACAATATGACGATTTATATGTAGCAGCAATACTATCCATATTAATAGCAAAAGGCGGTATTGCAACGTCGCGCGCCAATAGTGAATTATTTACCGAAAATCTCTGCATAATGCGTTTCATTTGATTTTCAAAATAATTTTAAAAACAGCAATTGCAATAGCGATATGTGATAGCATAAGTGCAGTGAAAGTGCATGTTGTACTGATTTGTTGCTGCAACTAATTTTCGGTTAGTAATAATCTTGAAATGTAATTAAAATGATAAACATTAAACTAGCTGAACATTCATTACAAAAATACAATTTGTAAATGAGGTGCAAATTGTATTTTTGATATTGAGATAGAATGAGAAGCAGTGTGAGAAGCATTAATGAAAAAGATAGACAAAAGCGCTTCATTCAGTACATATGATCAGTTTTAGTTATGAACAATCTCAATGCTAATCCAATCGTGCATAATAAATAATAAACAGATTATAGTTTGAATATTTTTTCATCTACATAAAGCAGAATATATATACAAATAAAACAAATGAAAGTGTGCTAGCTAATGAAATGAGAAAAGAATGAAATGAAAATTAAAAACAATTCGTTATAACAGTACACTTATCAAATTACAGAATGAAGAAAGAAGTGCAAATGAAGAAAGAAATGTAAATAAATGCTAAAAAAAAAAAAGAGAGGAAAAATTATTGAACAAATCAATATGTACAGATATTGTAATGAAATGAAATATTCATCGATACATGTTAACTAACTAACAAAACATTTAAATGAAATTTCTGAAATTAATCATTGCCAAACAAAATGCAAACAGTATAGCATTAACAGTTAACAGGAAAACCGGAATTACTGGAATAAAAAGCCGGAAATGCTTACGTCTTGATTCCGCGATCGCAAATAAATGTTGACATGAAAAATTGTTATAAAAATGGTCTACTGCTATATGTTCAATGATCTGTCTCCTCCTTCTCTCTTCCATTTCTTTTCATTTCATTCTTTCACCCTCTCTCTCTCTCTCTCTCCTTCTCTTTTTCTTCTCATCTTTTTTCTCTGTAATCAAAATATTATGGAATTGATGATATAAGCTGACTTTACCTGTTCTGTGACTTTGTAACCTTTAACCTGTTGTGTGACCTATAACCTTTACCTATCTTCATAAATGCAACTATTTATCTCTTACATCAATCATCACTTATGTAAGCATATTTTGTGATTGATTCATTGCAAATATTAGCATTTCACTGCATATAACTTTGTTTTGTCAAAAGATTTTACATTTCAAAAAAATAAAATTTACTTTTTTAAAAAAAAAAAAAAAAAGTTCATTTATTTTTGTGAAATGTATAAGGCATACATTCATGTGACACAGTAACATTTATTAGAAAGATAAAGTGAGAAACGGTTGTATCAGTAGCGATGAGTAGCACCAATTCGACATCTCAATCGGCGCTTTTATTGAAAAGACAATTGCAAGGTTTTTTGTTCATGTAAAGAGAAAGAGGGAGAGAGAGAGAGAGAGAGGGAGAGAGAGAGAGAGTTCAAATTTTAAACTTTTTGTTTGCTTTTAAATTTTAGAAATTCCATAATTTAGTAGATTATTTAATGAAAAGAGAAAGAGGGAGAGAGAGAGAGAGGGAGAGAGAGAGAGTTCAAATTTTAAACTTTTTGTTTGATTTTAAATTTTAGAAATTCCATAATTTAGTAGATTATTTAATGAAAAGAGAACGAGGGACAGAGAGAGACAGAGAGAGAGAGAGAGTTCAAATTTTAAACTTTTTGTTTGGTTTTAAATTTTAGAAATTAGAAATTCCATAATTTAGTAGATTATTTGAAGTGTATATATAAATAATATCATTTGCAATAGTAATATCTTTTTTTTTTTTTTTTTTAATTTTAACAACAAATCCTCAATGATTGTTTAAAAATAAGAAAATTTATAAATTAGCTTAAATACCACTAATATTATTACGGAATGAGCTTTAATAATAAAAACTGCTAGCTTTAGTCTTTCTTTAATTTACTTCATAAATTACTTTAAGTGTGTTAATTAACTTTTATAATAATTTATTACATGTTTTATCACTATTAGATATGTGTGAAGTAAATTCAGAAAATTTATTGAAATGAAATAATAATAATAATTTATTTTTCTCATTTAGATTTGAAACGATCACCAGTGGAAGGATTCTCAGCTGGTCTTCGTGGTGATGTTGAAGATATTTACAAATGGGAAGTGGTTGTACTTGGACCACCAGATACTCCGTAGTAAATTATTTTTAATTTTTAGTGAAAAAATAAAAATACACTTTTTTTTTTCTTCCTTTCTTTCCAAATTTTCCTTCTAACAGTGTTATTCAACTTTTTTTTTTTTCACTCCCTCTCTCTCTCTCTCTCTCTCTCTCTCTCTCTAAAAAATATCTAATAAAGGAAATATCTTATGTTGTAATAATTTAGTATGATATTTAGATCAAAACAAATATTCAAAATTATCCATGGTTTTTTTTTTTTTTAATGAAACATTTTGATCATATGGAAATATCTCAGATAATTTTAGTGAAGGTGGTGTATTTCGTGCTACGCTTGATTTTCCAGTTGATTATCCGCAACGACCACCAAAAATGCGATTTACTTCAAAAATTTGGCATCCAAATAGTTTGCTTGCTTCTCTGGTTGCACTATTAAAAGTTGTATTTTTATGTAAAATTTGAGAAATCAACCGAATATTCATTTTTCAGTATAGTATTAATTATCACTTGAATTATTAATATTATTATTATTATTAATAGAATTCAGTATAGTATTAATTATCACTTGAATTATTAGTATTATTATTATTATTATTAATAGAATTCAGTATAGTATTAATTATCACTTGAATTATTAGTATTATTATTATTATTATTATTAATAGAATTCAGTATTATTAATTATCACTTAATTATTAGTATTATTATTATTAATAGAAATCTAACTAATTGTTGCATGAAATATTTGAATTATTTTCAGTAGACATCAATGGCAATGTTTGTATATCAATCCTTCATGAACCAGGTGATGATCGTTATGGCTATGAGAAACCGGAAGAGCGTTGGTTACCGGTTCATACGGTTGAAACTATTTTACTATCTGTTATATCTATGCTTGCCGATCCTAATTACGAATCACCTGCTAATGTTGATGCTGCCGTATGTGCATATTTTATAACTGATAAGACATCATATAATTTGATAAGCATTTCAGTATTTCATTATATTAGCTTATAAATAGAATCCTTTTATTTTATTGATAAATGATGAAACATTTTGCAAGTGAATTTTTCCAGAATATTCCAGAAAATGCTTCGTGAAAATTATCCAGCATTTAAAAAGAAAGTTGCTGAATGTGTACGCAGAACACAAGAAGAAATTTAGTGATCAAATCTTTTCTTATGTTAATTTTTCAAATAGCTTTGTAAATTTTTGCGAAATTTATCGTACAATGAATAAGGTGCATTTATTTTATGAATTTGTAAAAAAAAACAAATCAATAAAATTATACGATTTTGTAACAAAAAAAACATTCCAATTGGCTTCTTTCAATCATAAGTCTGTTAAAAATAGTTCATTTTAAGAATTATTTTTTCATCAATCTCACATTCAAATTCTTGAAATCGGAATCTTTAAATCGTAGAAATTAATTTAATTCATGAAATTGAAATTTCTAATTCTAAAAAATGATAAACCTGGAAATACTCCTAATAGAAAGAACGCAATTTTTTTTTTTCCATATCAAAAGCAATGCAAACAAAAAAGAATTAGTTAATTTGATGAAGACAAATTATATTACAAATTTCTTGCATTTATCAAATCAAATCACGTATACGACTATATTCCGTCAATTTCAAACGTTTTAAAATTACCGATGCGTAACGTACGATCATTATAAGTCTCAGTAGCATCAACTGATTTTAAAGCGTGTATGTATGTATGTGTGTGTGTGTGTGTGTATGTGTGAATGTGTGAATGTGAACCTGTTTAGGTAGTACATTAGCAAACCAATATCAAATTTTTATTTGAAATTATCAAAATGGAAGGAATAAAGGTACATACATCAAAGTGATAGAAATTTTAGCAGAGAGTAATTTCATTTCTGACTGAGAATCAAAACAAGCTTAAAAGGGAAAAAGGATGAAATAAGAAGCGAAAAGTTGTTGTATTTATAAATGAAAATGGGTTTTTGGATAAATGAATTTGGTTGATATGCATGAAAGGAAGAAGCATTTATTACAATTTACACAAGCATAAAAACACGTTTTTAAATTTTGATTATGAAAAAGAAGAAAGGATGAAGAAAATGGTAATTTCAATTTACCTTTTTAAAATTAGCGAAAAACGATCGCAATAGCTTCTTTTGCAGAAGTGTGAAGAAAATAGAGAAAGCTAAATTGAGAAGTTCATTGTATTTTTGATGTTCTTTCATTATCGGCAGAGCAAGTTGCTCACTTCTTCCAATCTAATTCCTTTTCTAAAAATTTTAAAAAATATTTTTAATTAGTAATATAAAATGAGAATTATACTGTTGTTACTTTAATAGTAATACTAAGTAGTAGTAGTATTGATAGTAATAATTATAATGATAGTGGGAGTTTTTGCTACATTTTTGTTATTTATTAAAATTTTAAATGAGAGAAATTAAGTGTTAATCGATTATTACGATAAGTGTATTGAAAAAAGAAGGAGCGCTAAAGGAGGAAAAAGAGGAAGAAGAAAAAGACGAAATAAGGCGCTGATGTCCGAATGTTTCTACTTCTTGCTATCATGTTATCAGGTATTTTTTATATTTTATAAATTCAAATGTACGACAAATCATATTGCATTTAATTTTGCATTTAGATCAATGTATATTCTCGACGAATCCTTTTTAAATTAAAATTAATATCTCATTAATAAAGTTATTGTAGTAGCATTTCATCTCTTTAATTATCTTTTATTCTACTATTAGCAAACATTTTGTTCTAATTAATGTGAAAAAAAAAAAAAAAAAAGATGGAAAATATAATTAAACATCCGATTTTATTCATTTTTTTCAAAATTTTGCGTATAAATTTGTTCCACTGAATAATAGCCAAAATAATATAATAATTAAATAATTTGAATTAGTGAAAATGATGTATTTATAAAATAATGATCAATCATCAAGAATATGAATAAAATTTTAAATTAATTTACAGGTGTACTGGGTCAGCAATCATGGTTCTTGCTACCAATAGAATCATCTCAAAGTCAACATTTACAAAATACTTCAATTTTTACATCACATCCTCAGAAAGTATCTGTCTTAACACAATTGCAAATACAAAATTATCAAAGAAATTTTGAAAAAAATTTATTATCAACAATTCATAGGCGTCAACAACAGAAGCAAACACAACAATTAATTTCACATTTGGTTAGCTTATTAGAATTAATATCTCATTAATAAACTTATTGAATTAATAAACTTATTGATTTTATGATTTCTGATTTTAAGCTTAGCAAAAGTTTTCAACTAATTATTTTTTTGCTTGCTGTATAACACAATGTGACATTAATTTGCAATAGATCAATGTTCAATCAAATTAAAGAAAAAAATATCTTTTATGGATCAAACTGTGATCATCCATTTATATTATTTTTAGCAATAATGTATGATAATAATTGAATAATTATTTAATCAATTTTATTTATGATTGATAATGAAAAAAAAAAAAAAAAAAACAAACAAATATTTTTTTGATAAAAAGTTTATCAAAGAGGATAAATAAACAGACATATCTTCTCTCTTTCTTTTTTCTTTTTTTTTTTAGATATGAAATAAAGAAATTAAAAGTTGGAAAGAGTAAAATGATAAAAGTGAATAGTAGAATGGAATATTTTAAAAAAATGTTAAATGATTTTAACCTTATACAGGAAGGAAATTTTTTATTACAGAATAATAAACAAATGCTACGATATGAAAATAATATGCGACATCGAGATTTGCCTATTGCATCAAGAGTAAATCAAAAAGTGATAAATGAAACTCGAAATATGGGTATTTCCAAGCATATACCTTTTATAAACAGTAATTCTCCTTTCCAATTATAACATCAAAGCTTTTTTTTTTTTTTTTTTTTTTTGGTAAATCGAAATAAAATTTCAAAATTTTATCGATATCAAAAAATTTACTCTAATAAACAAGTAAACATCATTTATACATTCTCAAAATATCTGGACCAAATAAAAATTTGCAAAACTTGACATCAAACAATTGTAAGGAACAGGTAACTGAAATTAGTTAGCACTTATCCAAACAAAAAATAAAATTCTAGGTTTACTCATAACAAATAAACAACAACAACAACAACAACAGAATCCTTCAAGATTCAAGCATCTACCATCTCCACAACGATTTGTACTACCGCAAGTCTTGTAAGTACTTGCATTCTCGCAATTCAAAATTTTAAAACTTACGAATACTATTTAAGCTATTTTTGTAATTTCTGCTTGACTATTATTTAATTTGTTATAAAATACTTTTGCAGAGAACAAATATCTGATATCCGGCCTAAAATACGACCACAGTTGCCTATTCTAGCAATTGTCAAGCCATCTAGGCCAAGAGTTCCAATGCAAAAATTTGTGCCCCAGAAATTAGCACAGATCAGTAGCCTCAATAGAAGAATTCATGAACCAGTTTTAGCATCTTCAACAATACTAATACCCACTCATACATCACTAAAACGAGAAGATCAACAATCTGCGACAATTCTGGAAAATACTAATGAAATTCCATTTGTCAGTTTTTTTCTTTTTTTTTTTTTTTTTTTTTTTTTGTTGGCAAATAATTTCCAAAAAATATTGTAAAAATTAAATATTGTAAAAATTTCAAAAAAAAAAAAAAAAATTTTATTTATAAATTCTAATTATTATCTTTACAGAGTGCTAATGATGCATTCTTAGAATGTTGCAAAGAAAAAAATGTTGATGCTAAATGTGAATCACGGTGCAATTTTGATATTTTGGATCGTCGAGTGGTAATCTTTTCATTTATGGCTTTTCTGAAATTTCATTAATTATACATTAACATTATATTTTAATTTAGTTATCATATAGCACTTTAATTAATTAAGAAAATTTTTAATTTCATTTGTATGTAATTGAAAAGAATGAAATGAAAACTAATGAATGAGAGGAAAACATACTTTTAAAATAAGTATTGTCTTCTGTGATAAAGTTAACTTTTGAAAGTTACTTTATTATTTTTTTTTACACGATTAATTTATATGTAATATCTAAATTATCATCAGCTTCAATCAGAGATAATGTAATTTGAAGAGAATGAGAATATCACAAACTTTGATGAATTAATTGTAAAAAATGAAGGCTTAAATGTGACACTTAATAAACAGACACAACATAATTTTAATATCATCAAACAATAGAATTTGAGATATAAAAACAATTTATATACATAGAACTGAATGATGTGTTATAATTTTCATATATTTACCTTTTGATCTTAACATATCACAATTATTTCTAATTGTCTATGCTATTTCAATCATATTATTGTAAATTAATAATATATAACTTATTAATTTATTCAATAGGAATAGTTGTTGTCTACGTACTGATTTGAAAGTATTAAAATCGGAAGAATGTATAAAAATCTACCAAAAGAAATGTCAAATAAATGCAACAATGACATCCTGTTTTCTTTCAATTAGGATTCAAATAGGATGAATATACATTAAATTCTGAATTTTTGTAGCTTTTTAAAAAAAAAAAAATGAATTTGTAAATTGCAGCTTACGGCAATGTTTATTGGCTCAGATCCATGTCCCCGAAATAATGGCCGGAGTTTATTGTCATGTGCTGCTCAGGATTCCGATCACACTAACTGTTGTCGTGCAAACGGTGTACAACAAACAGCTGCTGGTGACAAATGTTTAGGATTTTGTCAAATGACTCCCGAATCTAATTTCCAGGTTTTTTGGCCAATTCTTTAATTCATTCATATTGCCATGCTATATGAATGTCAGTGTTGAAGAACAGCTCTTAGGATTAACTCATAGTTCAGTTTTAATAATTTTGGAATGTATTCTTAGAAAAACTTTTCAGGGGAAAACAATTTTTTCAGGCAGATGTAAGTATGTTGCCATGTTGGAGCGTTCTCAAAGAAATCAAACAATGCTTTCGTCTTAGTCTTATTGAAAAGCGCAATATAAAGGAAGTATAATATGTTCAAATCGACGAACTCCAATGATATTAGAGTCACTAATCTTGATTCATATAAAGTAGAATTCAAATTTTGTTTGTTAAAACCTCTCCCTCTTCAACATTTGATATCAACATTCGTTACCTAACTTTATAGGCCGCCCAACGACACCCGGAAAAATTTATATTTGATGCTATATGCAGCTAGAAAAGTTTTAATACTTTATCTAAAACAGTGCAAATGAAATTGTGATTAAGGAACAAAATTAACAAAATTCCCAATACTAATGTTCGCAACTTTTCGAGAGCAATTTTACCGCTTCAGCCTTTCTTTACTATCAACATTCAGGTAGTCTTCATCGGCAATATTTAGCATGAGACCACCGGATGGTAGATAAACCTGCAAGTTAAAACACATGAAATATTCAAATCAAGAACTACCGTGCTCCATATATACTAGTTGAACATACCAGTAATTTCGACAATTTTGAATAAGTAAAATCAAGAAGGATTTGCAAAATAAAGTTTATAAATGCTAATTTTTGAAAAATTGTGCAAATAAAAAAAAACACTAACTCTGTTGTTTGCTGTTTCTGATATAATTTTCGAAATTTTCTGAGCAGCACGAATTTTACGCAACTTTAAGAAACCCGGATCTCGTCTAATTGCTTCGCCTATCTGAAAAAGACTTTCTGATTGATAATATATGATTCAAGACAAAACTGAAATTTGCACAAGTGCAGCAAAAATAGAGAACTGTGCACATAGTGTGGAAACATTGACATTTTATCACTCTCATAGTAATGTTTTCACAGCTGTACTTTAATAATTTCCGTCGTTTTTTACAGCGAAAACTTTTGAAATTATCCAGCTTCGCCAAGATTAACGACGTCCATACAAAACAGAGGAAAAAGAAGCAAAATTTCAAAAAAGAAAAAAAAAAAGACATCAACATACAAGTTTAGCAGATTGAGCTTCACCCTCAGCCTGGACGATTTTTTCCTGTCTCTGCTGTTTCGCTCTTTCAACCAAAAATGATGCACGTTGAGCTTCTTGAGCAGCAACTTGTTTCGCTTCTACAGCTGCAGAGTACTGTGGCGAAAAAGCCAATTCGGTAATTGCCACATCATCCAAAATAATGTTGAAATCCAGTGCTCTCTCTTCAAAAATTTCGATGATCATTCTCGCCAATCAGAGGAAACATCAAACAACATCAAAAATAAAATGAACAATTACAATATGAAAAAAAAAAAAAAACAGATGAAGGAGAGAACACTCACCAATCAGACCCTTACGAACAAGTAAAGAAACTTGCTGCCGTTGTGTTATCAGCTGTGAAGCGTTAAATTTCGCTACAACACTTTTGAGTACCTATAAAGAGAAAAAACCGAACATAACAAACTTGTAGGTTATATGATATCCAAAAAAAAAAACGGTACAAACTCAACTTCCTATCAGGCTCACTCAAAATATTACTTGTTATGAGAAAGAAGGAAGGATTTCATTTTGTTCAGATTTGGATGGTTTCATAAAATCTCTGTACCGATCACTATTCCTCCAAATTCTTAAGTATACCGTGATTAAAAGACAAAGTTGGTTTCGCCACCAAATCATTTTCGAATTATATTTTATGATGCTGTAATGTTCAAAGTTTGAGAATTCTGTACCACAAACCTCATTGCAAATTGAAGGTAAAATTCTTTCTTCCCAATTCTGCCCCAACATGCGATATATTTTTGGTAATGAGGACGGGTCGGGACGTGAAAGAACACGCAGACCGATATTCACCATCTGAATTTTCATACATAATTACTAACTGAAGCATATACTTTTCCCTTTTTGAAGACATTCGTAACAACGCAAAATTCTTATAACACGTAGTTCGATAAAAAATATACTCTTTATCGAAAACGATGTTTTTTGAAGCAAACATGCGGTACAAAGAAAAAAATATTACTAAAACATGGAAAACAACCTGCAAATCCTTGCTTCCAGTTGGTGAACGAATTTGGTTGGGACGAGCACGAATATCATATATAATTGGATACTGGAACCACGGTACTCGGAAGTGCAGTCCTTCTTTATAGACAGCGTCACCAATACCACCAACTCGGTTGAACATTATTGCTCTGTGTCCAGCGTCAACTACAAATTCTCTCTTAAACATCTTTATACATTTTGCATGCATACAATCTAATTAAAAGGAGTTGCTGAAATAAATACAAAATCCTGAAATCTTTGAAAATAAAACCAACGCACACGGAAAGAATGGACCGGCAAACTGTAGCTAGTGTGGATATTTTCAAAAAGAAAAAATTCACAAGCCACTTCACTTATTATAGCAAAAATCATGAAGAAACAATTCGAAAAAGTGAAAATACCAGAAAAAAGTGATTCTTTTATGCCAAGGCCAGTAGCCACAGTGCCGGCTATAAGAGCTAGACCCTTCGGGCCAACATCCAACAATAATTTTTCGAAGTTTGCCATCTAAATGACGAAAAAACTAAAAAAATTCTTTTAACATAGAAAAGTTTGAAAAAAAATGAAAACTTCCAAATTACAATCAATAAACGAAGCAGAAAAAGGTTCTAAACAGTGATTCTATTGTTCATAAATAAGCATATTATGAAAAATTCAACTAGGGAAACATAAATTACAGAAGTCGATGCAAATATATGAAATGCACATACATTTGCGAAGTTGATTAACAAAAAAAGAATGAAATTTTTATCAATGTACTTCTACATGCTACTTTTTATTCAAAACATTTACTATTTACAAACATTGAAACAGCTAATATAAAAATCGAACATATCAAAACCCTAATTTTGAACCCAATAAAAATTGGTCCTAAAAAATTGGAAAAAAAAAAAACGGACAAATATATTCACATTTTAACAGTGATTAATACTGGATTTAGAAATCAACTAGACATTAAAATACATCTTATAATAATTTCCAGTAAATGAATTTATTTCGCTGAAAACTTATTAATCCTTCTTTTTATCATACTGTTTAATCTAAACGTTATATCCGCTAACTGTTGCACTATTATATATGTTTTCTGGCTTAAATAAACGCCGAATTTAACTGCTTGCTTCGATATACGAGATCCATTGATAAACATTTTTTTGCCGACAACTGCGGTTGTTATCTAAACATTTCGCATCATAAATTAGATGGGATTCACAACTCCAGGAATAAGAACATATTATAAAAAGTAAAACTATGGACTGTGAAGCGGTGGAATCTTTTCATAATAAGAACATTTGTCAAAAAAGTCATCAGCAACGCCACTAACATTACATTTACTCCCAAGTAATGAGTCAAAATAGAATGAGAGTTAAAATACTGCATCACCCTTCCAGAATGCTGAAATTATGCAAGCTTTCTTGAATTTTCTTTTTCCAAAAAAAAAAAAATCGCTTTGCTTAGTAATTCATAATAATTTCAAAAAATTACCAGAAATCTTGTTATTGCCGCTGAACGGATGATTTGTCTGAGTGTGGCAGGATATGAAAATATAAGTTCTGCCCATGTATCACGAGTCCATACGCCTAATCCTCGACGATCAGCAATCTGAAGAATTTCCACATGAATGATAAGAGATACCAAGCAGAAACTTCGATTTTAATTTAAAAGTATTTTCTAAGTAATTTTGAAAACAATTTGAAAGTAGTTAGTCCTTGAATCACCAGTTTCTTTAGTAAATACAAAAAAAAGAAAACCTTTTCAGACATGATCAATTTCGACATCAGCCTTGAATATGAAGGATTAGTCTTCAATGCATCCACATGTTCCGGATTATTCAATGGTATAACACGTGCGAAACCTTGACGTACCAAATCTACATTTAAATTTGTCTGCAGAAATCGTTTCTGCAATGGTCTCAAGAATTAATTTTGTATATAAACATTAACATGCAAACATAACTTAAAATTAGACTATATCTTTAAGAATAAATCAAAAACAGACTTTCCGCAAAAAAACTTCAGCATCGATACAGTTGTTGTTTTCAGCTGGCTTGATGGCAGAGAAAAATATTTGGCTACTACGTATACGGACATCTTTTGCAAGATAGTCCGAACCAGCGTCCGAAACATCAATACCCGCAAGACGTATATTCAACAATCCTGGCTACACAATTTTCTAAAGTAATTCGGAAATACTTTAACCAGGGAACAGCTCTCTAAATATGTTCTCTATTCTTATGAATGATAGATTATGGGTATTCACGTAATACATTACTTCAAAGCAATCATTCTAATCTATCTATAAATTATCTACAAAACACTAAATTTAAGCAATACCTGGATGGATTTTTTTCTGGTAAGAAATTTTGGCATCGTAAATGCTGGTATATGCTCAACTTTCATATAACCATTTGAATGAACAGCACGAACAATCCCTTTCAATTCAATTCCCTTTTTATATATCTCAAGCGGTATCTCTGATACATTTTCATATCTTGCGAACTGAAATCCATAAAATCAAATCAAAATATGATACAATATTTTCCATCAGCCTTAGTATATTAAAGGAAAATACAAAGTTTGTCCGAAATGCCAGTTCTTGGCATCGACAACTTCTTTGACGCAAAATAAAAGCATAAATCACTAAATTTTGCAACATAACAAATAATTTGAATTCCCTATCAAAAATTCTAAAAAGCTATGAAATGATAGTGTAAAAACTAAGATGATTTAATGTCTCACATCAACTTAAAATTATGCTTGTGACAAAAGCCTAAAAAGTACCATCCGTGTTTTTCGAACAAATAATGCAATGCCCAAAATTCCTCCACTGCAAACAACACCCTGCAATGAGAATTAATGTTAAAAGGATGAAATTTTAAACAGTCTTTTAAGTGTAAAGTGTTCCCTTTTCTTTTCTCTTGTCAAGTTGTTGAATATTGCTAGCAAATTGTAGATCTAGAAATGTTGCAAACAACATAGAATCAAATGAGATAAAATAAATGGGATAAAAATCACACCCTGATTAAGGTAGCATAGTAACGATCGTTAGCTTCTCTGACTGCCACTTCATGCACCATTATCCTTCCAATGCGCTTTTGACCACCCCAAATCACTGTAATTACTATATTTACTTTTTAAGATTGCTTCCATTCTTCTTTATTTGATAATTTCAACAATATCAAAACATTTCATTCATTAAATACGATCCCAATTTACACCAATTACCCCCTCAAACCCATTAAACCTAACATTTTACTCAGATTGCCTTGGTCATTTGCCATATATCAAAGTTCGGTACGCTAATGTAGCATAAGGATGACTGGATGAGACGGAATGAAAATGAAAAGGTCTATTGAACGGAGATTGCTTAATATCTGCTGAAGTACTTGTAGCTTTGTAAAGATAAGCTGCAAGAAGTATTCTTATGGTAAACGGTTGGGAAAAGCTTAAATGAAGTAAGCAGAAGGGTATCTAATTAGAGTTCTGATCTTACATAACTTCTTCAATAATTATATTAGTTTGGTAAGTTTTGATTTTGACGATCTGATGATCACTTCATCTAGTAAGGCCTATATATACTTTGCCAGTGTTTAACCCATTATTTCTGATTTTATTCCTCTTACTACACCTAAAATTTACTGCAGAAGTTCATCCTTGTTCCTGGTAAATATCAATATCATAAGAAGGACATTTCCCAATGTTTAAACTCAAAAATACATCCTACGATCTCTGTTCTATCAACACAAAGATATCAACACATATCTTTGTCATAAAAAAACTTTGCCAGTGTTTAACCTTTACGTACTTCACTTCTTTTCAGCACTTAAATTTTTTCACTGTACATTAATCATTACAGCACTGGTCTTCCTCGCTTAACTTTAACTGTCAGGATTGCATTTCCAGTGTTAAAGACTATGTAAAGAGTGTGGAAAAGGTTAAATGATAATAATAAGAGAATAGGAATGCAAGATTATCACTGCAGGTAGTATCAGTGTTCGTATCACATCGATGAACTTTGATCGATCGAGCGAGCAATTGCCCGGACAAAACGTTGCAGTCAATAAACGTTGTGGGACAGTTATTATCATGAAACCTTGACATATCCTCCTCTTCTCTTCTCTTCATGGAAGTTCGTATAGTCCTTCGTTCCCCTTCCCTCTTCTCCCCTCTCCCTTCCATTGCTCATCTTATCAGTAATTTTCTTTTCCTTCAGAAATACTAACATCTCTCAAGTAAGACTAATCAATATATATTAGAAAAGTTACTTGCAGATTATTCTCAGATTTCCATTTACAAAGTTATATACATTCCATTAATTGAAAGTTGTGTAAATTAAGAAGTAGCAATTTGCTGTTTCATTCATCTCTATGCTATGTTGAAGTCAGTCTTTCCATCTAATCTTGTCTAACATATCAATCAAAAAATGTTAATTAGTCAAAGTATATGAGTAAAACTTTACTCGTAGAGAGGGAGCTGTGATTCTGAGATCGCGGTGCGGTGTTATCCTTTCTGTTATCGTACGATCTAAGATGTCTTAATGTGAAAGTGAATGCTCATTTCATCTTAAATTCAATTAAGTTGTTTTTTTAATAAAATACGGGAGAGAAACATTACCTTTTATTCCATTTTTTTCTTCTGTAATTTAGATTTAATTCATTTCTTGAGTCATTTGTTTGGAATATAATTATTGTGTCAGGATGAAAACCTGTATATTCTGCTGTTCTACTATTTGATATTTGCATTACATGCAAGTTAACTTAACAAAAACGAAATGAAACGGATTAAATATGATAGCTAACATTCTGCTAATATCTTAATCTTTTCATTTTTATTCAAAGAAGTCGTTTGCAGAGAAATTAACAAGAAAAGACCTTCTTATCACACCATAAAATGTGTATTATTTCCTTCTTTTTTATTATTATTAAAAATGTCATTATTATTATTACTATTTATTATTAAAAATTTTCGTTATTAAAAATGGAATTTCATGTTTGATTACTAATTAGTAGTTCTCAGGAGATTCATATCATCACATATTGCCATCTATTTATTGACGGTACTGGTAATTGCCACAATGCATTACGAATTATCTATGAAAGCAATTACATCAGCTCTCTTTTTCTGAATTCTTCTCGTTTTTGTAAAATGACATAGTGCTTATGAACATTTGAATAGATGTTGTATATTTGCAGAAAACAGTTAATGAAGGGAAAATAATTTGCATTGAAACGGTAGTGCTGTGTTGATGAAATGAGTGGGAATAATTGGCCGAATGAACTGCTTAAGACAGGTATTTCGCATGGAGAACATGAAGGAAACTGCGAGGAGAAGAATTCACAACCAATGTGTTCATCACAGTGTTCCGGATTCACCGATACACACATTACTTTCCGGAAGAAAATACCTGCTGTTGTGCCTCTCGTGGTTAGTTGTTTAATAATTAGTTTTTTTTTTTTTTAATACAGAATTTAATTTTAGGCTACTGTTGTAGTTTTTATATAATTGTCATTAAGAACAGTGATCAAAAAGAGGAGTAAACTTCTTTAAGAGTTTTATGATCACAGAATGAAATATAGTTGATAAAAAAAAGGCATTTCTAAGTCTGTACTTTACCCATCAATTAATATAATTTCAAGAAAATAATAAATTTCCTGAGAAATGCACATTTCGCCATAAATAATAGTAAAATTAAGTTGAATTGGCATCTCACAGTGTTCTTTTTACATTCCACTCACCCTTTTCTATTGTGTTCTTTGCTCTGTACTACCCCGAGTTAGTTGTTTTCATGTTTTATAATTTGCTTAAATTAAAATTGTAAACGAACGCATAATGAAATGCTCACCTTCGGGAATTATCAAGCAAAAGCAATGAAATTTAGATCATATTTTTAAAAGATTTTCAGTCGTCACCCGTTGATTCACCTCACTCTTTGTTACTTTCACCAATATTGCTTCGTCCGATTCGCTCACTTTCGACGCAAAATAATTTTTGTGGGTTACCGTCAGAATTTGATGAAGAACATCGTTTATCACGGCAAAAAATAGCTGCATCCTATCAGTTGCCACGTACATTTGCAGCTTCAAAAGGTGTACTTTCCTGTTTTTCTAGAAAGAGGTGATAAAACTCATTCAAAAGTTAATTTTCGGCTTTTAAAATTAGGTTACACTGAGGATCATCAAAATGTTTTACTGAAATTCAATCCACTGACCTTAGTATTACAAGAATTTTAGGTGTCACAGTGCTAAGCACAAAAACTGCCGTCGAAAGAGGTAGTGCTGATAATTCAGAGGGCCGTTTTTTAATGCAATTATCACACAAACGAGGAAGATGTTTGTCGGGTAAGAAATCATTGTTTCTGTCGTTATGTTGTTGCTTAAAGTAGGATTGAAATCAAAGTTATCATTTGCCATTTCGCTTTTTTCGAGTTATTTGTTTTTTTTTTCTACCACGCTGTACAGTTTTATTTACGGACTCGATGATTTTGGGACGATAGAGTTTTATAAAGGTTATCGATAATAATAGCTGAGGCACAGGTTGAAATATTAGTATTAAAATCAACTAATACCAGATTAGCTTTACCTTATTAAATGTATTTGCATCCAAAATGAGTGTTTTAGAGTTGAGTAATTTTTCTGTTTTTATTTGGTATTGAGATTTTTTTTTAATTAAAATAGGGGATAAATAAGACTCAAACGTAAGGTCAAAATACTACGAATCGAGTTTTCATGTAATTAATGAATGTAGGTGTTTACGTATGTGTTCCCTACTAAGTCGTGTTTCTTTCTTAAATTTGACTGCAATTTTAAATTAATAAAAATCTCAGCTTCAGATCATTGCTTATTTTGTAAAGGGACTAAAAAACAAATTTCACGACAAGTTTTAGGTATGCTTAGTCAAAAATCAATGGATTTTTCGTGTTCAAACCATACTGCAACGTTGGGAAATTTGGTACGAATGCGTAACTCTTCATTAGGCCATTCCGATCCACAAATTTCTGCATCAGTTGTTCAGTCGTCTTCAGTTCGTCTTCGAGTATGTTTCTGAAACTCATATTTGATCTCTTTCTTTATTTTTCTAGGAAAGGTAAAGAATGAGAAGTTTACTTCATATCTGACTTTGAAGAGCTTCATGTTCTTGATATCATTGAATCATTATCATCTTTGCACATTAACCTCCTTCCTGATAAATTTAGATAAATTTAAACAAAATTTTATGCAAAATAAAATTTGTAGCGAAAAGATGGGATTCATCCTTCGTATTCATCAGCCAGTAGCCTTGGATGTCATCGAAGTTTGAATGCTTCAGCATCGCCTATCCTCGCACGAAGATGCCGATCGCCTAATCGTTTTGCAATATTTCCTTTTCCTCATGGAAAAACAAATCCATCAGTTGTATCGCTTAGGTTTGTGTCATTTGATCTTCTTAGTATTTCTCGGATATTATTGATAAAATTCGTAACTTTAAAACAAAATAAACTAGAGATATAACTACACTTTTTCAGAACGCGTACAACGCCGTTAGCATCAGCTCAGGATAGTAGACGCTGGTCAGTTGCATCTCTTCCATCATCAAGCGGTTACGGGACACCTGGAAGCAACTCAGCATTTTCGGTTATTTGATTTTAAGCGTTTCTTTTTCAACGGTTGTCCATAGGCTTTTAATAGAAGACAGTCATTAGAAAAATCGTATAGACTGAATACTTCCTGTTTTTTTTTTTTCTCTCGCATAATGCCATATTAGTAGTGGGCGAATATTAGCATATTTCAACTTTAGTTGAAAACTCAGTGAGGAGAGATTTATAACAGATTTATATAAAGTATTGTGCAAATTATGTCCTAAGAAATTGCGATTTTCACTAAAAATTCAACGAAAAAGTGTGCTCTTCTGGCAAGAAAGTTTGCTTTTTTTTGCTCTCATTGTATTTTCCACGAATAAAATATTCATAATCACTTTGCTCGGGAAAGAAATTATTTTGGTGCATTTTTGCCTTAACAGTTTAGGATTGCAAGTTTTCAAAAGAACAAAATGAGTGTAAATAAAGTGAATCTTTTGTAGAGTGAATATTCATCGCAAGAAC